TCTCTGATGAATCTCCTTTGGGGTGACACCTTCTCCTGTCAAAAATTCAATGACTGCACATTGCTTAAGTCGCATTGACTGACTGTCTGCGCAGGGTTCCATACTTTGCACTTTAACAACACAGCCGTTCAATGCTAAGGCTTCCCACCTAAATGGAACTGTAGCGGAGAGTCTACTGAACAAGCCAGTACCTGCCACATACCAGTACTGCCAACTGTTGAGAAGTTACGAAGGTGGAGGCATTACTTTTCATTCTACCTTTGTACACCAGTGTTTCTCAACCTTCTGAATGTTGCGGCCCCTTAATACAGTTCCTCATGTTGTGGTGACCTCCAACCATAATATTATTTTCATTGCTACTTCATAGCTGTAATTTTGCTACTGTTATGAATCATAATGTAAATATATGATATGCAGGATGTATTTTCCTTCACTGAACTAAATTTGGCACAATACCTGAAATGCCCAAATTTGAATCCTGGTGGGGTTAGGAGGGGGAACAGATTTTGTCATTTGGGAGTTGTAGTTGCTGGGATTTATAGTTCACCTCCATCCAGAGAGCTCTGTGGAATCAAACAATGATGACTGTGGACTAAACATAGCACTAATACTCAATATGCCCAGATGTGAACACTGGTGGAGTTTGGGGAAAATAGTCTTGATATTTGAGAGTTGTAGTTGCTGGAATTTATAGTTCACCTACAATCAAAGAACATTTTGAAGCTCAGCAATGATAGAATCAGGCCAAACTCACCACAGAGAACCCCCATGACCGGCAAAAAATACTGTGTTTTCTGATGGTTTTAGGTGACCCCTCTGACCCTCACAACCCCCCCAGGGATACTGACCACCAAGTTGAGAAACATTGCTGTAAAGCAACAGACAACAACCTTGACCACACCTCAATATGATGGTGCAATTCCATGATGACATTAAAAAGCCCTGTGAAATTGCTGAAATCTATATAAAAAATGTAATGTTCGTTTGTGGGATTAACATAACTCAAAACCACTGGATGAATTGACACCCCTAACAGACCAACGAGTGGCCATTGCTCATAAAAAAGATCCCCAAAACAGTGGAAAGGACTTAAAAATCCCAAAAAGCTAAATGATGATACAGCACATGTGTGAAAACGACTCCCCTCCTCTCCCTGTTTGAGGGAAAAGAAAACAAACAGCTGCCCTAACTCTTCTTTGCCCTGTGCTACAGTCAGATAGGAAGGCTGTGGCACTCAGTGGACAGCCTTGGCCCACAGCAGGTTGGCCTCCAGTCCTATGACCCCGAAGACGGCAGCAGTTGGGAGGAGTGATGAGCAGACCCGAGGGTGACATGAGGGTGCAAGAAAAGTGTGTGTGTGAGGGGGGGGGGGGAGTACTCACTCACCTCAAACATGAGAAACCAGGAAAACTTTGCAAGCAGCTCAGACCACATCTCAAGCCCGGGCCACTGTCTACAGACACAATAGCGGCGGCCTGGTTGGCTGGCCATCTGGCCACAGGCCCCACACACTTCCGCTGAACTCCTTGCCTGCCAGACTGGGCCCACAAGATGGTTCCCCTACCTCGCAGCAGGAAGTCTCCCACAGATGCCCGGCTTACTAACCATGGAGCCTTTGCTCTGCAGAGTTCAGGGATGCACCTCTCTCAAGTGCTGCCTTTAAGCTGGCCTATGTTTAGAGGGAAGGAACGAAGGAGGGAAGGAAGGAAAGACAGAGGTAGAGGAGAAAGGAAGGAGAAAGGAAGAAGGAAGAGAAAGAGGAGAGGAAAAGGAAAGGAAGGAAGGGAGAAAGGAAAAGGGGAAAAGGAGAGAGAGAAGGAAGGAGAAGAAGGAAGGAAGAAAGGAAAGGAAGGAAGGAAAGAGAGAGAAGGAAGAAAGGAGAGAAGGAAGGAAGAAAGGAGGGAGAGAAGGAAAGAGAAGAAGGAAAAAAGAGCAAAGGAAGGAAGGAGGAAGGTAGAGAAGGAAGAAGGAGAGGAAAAAGGGAAGGAAGGAGAGAAAGAAGAGAAAGAGGGAGGAGGGAAGAAAGAAAGAGAGAAGGAAGATGGAACCGAAGAGCAAAGGGAAGAAGGAAAGAAAGGGTAGAGAAAAGAAGAAGAAGAGAAGGAGAGAAAGAAGGAGGGAGAAGGAAGGAAGGAAGGAAGGAAGGAAGGAAGGAAGGAAGGAAGGAAGGAAGGAGAGAAGGAACGAAGGATGGAACCAAAGAGCAAATGAAGGAAGGAAAAATAGAGGTAGAGAAGGAAGGAATGAGAGAAATAAAGAAGGAGAGAAAGAGGTGGATCTATTACTGGGGTTGCTCAACTCTCTCCTCTCTTTGCTCTTGGCATTTTTAGAGAAATGAAACTTAGCAGAAGCCTTGTTTACCTTTTGATGGGACAGGACTCTCTACTTTTGTAAACCCTTCCAATGTCCTGAACTGAGTCGACCACAAAGCTTCTCCAAGGTCTGTTTTTACCTCTGGGTTGAGCTTTATCCATACATGATAAATGGCACTGCTCGGTTTATCTTGATTTTTTTTGCTTGGATTGTTCCCACTCTGCACATGACCAGAATCACTGTCTTGAATTATCATGCAAGAACCTGCTTCACTGATTCTTCAACGGAGTTCTTGAGAATCTTGGCACTCTCCCTTTGCTGTGAGCAGCAGCACCGTCCAGTCAAAAAAAAGCAAGTAAACTGTTCTCTCCAAGTTTGTTTATCTCGGAATAAATAGGCCAAGGATTCATCCAGACTGATTAAAAAGACTGGAAAGTCCCAGATCTCATTTCTGCTCTTTCCAGTTTTGTTGTGAAGATCCATACACCTTTTGTTTACCCAATAATATGTTATCTCCGCTCCAGATTGTGATATTAGCTTCCCAAGTATACTTAGTGTGAAATCCAGACAGAGCAAGAATGAAATGTGGGATGCTTCAATCAGTCTGGATGCCTTTTACACTAGGAGTTTCGTTTACTTTAATTTTGCAATAGACATTTTATTTTATTTTCAATTTCTAACCCTTTGGTGTTCTATCCCCAGTGCAAGTCGCTGTGTTGTGCCTGAAAGTAATTTACGATTTATGGCACCCCAGAGGCAACCCTATCAGGGGATTTCCTAGGGCTGAGAGAGTGTGACTTGCCAAATGTCACCTGGTGGATTTCCATTGTCATTTCCTGTATATATTTATGTATTTATTTATTGTATTAGAAGCGAACCGAGGGCACAGTTGTAATCTATTTAAAAACACAAAGTTTTAAAACTTGGCATGATACTATATTTCCTTTTACCAGAAGCTGGCCACTTGGAGTGCCTCTGCTGTTTCTATACGAAAGTCCTCCCTTGTGCTTATGGCAGGGCTCCAGCTGTATTGTAGTCAGTGGTCTGTGGTTTGCTCTTCTCCGCACTTGCATGCAGTGGATTCCACTTTGTGGCCCCATTTCTTAACGTTGGCTCTGCATCTCATGGTGCCAGAGAGCAGTCTGTTCAGCGCCTTCCAAGTCACCCAGCCTTTTGAATGCCAAGGAGAAATTGACATTTCAGAAGCTGAAAAAATGGATAGAAAATCAATCAGGGCTGGCCCTGTCAAATTGGACAGATCATATTGGAAGAGACCTCGTGGGCCATCCAGTCCAACCCCATTCTGCCAAGAAGCAGGACCACCGCGTTCAAAGCACGCCCAACAGATGGCCATCCAGCCTCTGTTTAAAAGTCTCCAAAGAAGAAGCCTCCACCACACTCCGGGGCAGAGAGTTCCACTGATGAATGGCTCTCCTTACAGTCAGGAAGTTCTTCCTCATGTTCAGGTGCAATCTCCTTTCTTGTAGTTTGAAGTCATTGCTCCATTGCGTCCTAGTCTCCAGGGCAGCAGAAAACAAGTTTGCTCCCTCCTCCCTGTGGCTTCCTCTCACATATTTATACATGGCTATCATGCCTCCTCTCAGCCTTCTCTTCTTCAGGATAAACATGCCCAGCTCCTTAAGCCGCTCCTCATAGGGCTTGTTCTCCAGACCCTGGATCATTTGAGTCGCCCTCCTCTGGACACATTCCAGCTTGTCAATATCTCTCTTGAATTGTGGTGCCCAGAATTGGACACAATATTCCAGATGTGTTCTAACCAAGGCAGAATAGAGGGGCAGCATGACTTCCCTGGATCTAGTAGATACTATACTCCTATTGATGCATGCCTCAATCCCATTGGTTTTTTAAGCTTGAAGGGTACCCCTTTAGTTAGGCACCCCAAGGCTGGTGACAGAAAGCAAGCAATCTCCGTAGGTGAAGCAAAAATCTCTTTATTTCAAGTGTGGCCACACAGGGAGAAACAGCCAAGACAGACCAGTGTCTTCAAAGAAAGCTGTCTCTGACATTTGGATCTTTCAGTCTCCTTATATACATGTCTTTTCGCTGTGTCATGGGCACACACCTCTCTTATCGGATCAACCATTCAAAAACATGTTTTTCTCATATTTTGCCACTTCAGTGTCTCTCACTGATAACCTTCTACAAACTACGTAAACACACACATTATTGTTACAGATAAGCATTTTGGGTGTTAACCCACCCTGGGTACTCCCTGGGCGTACTTGACAATAGAGCATCTTGTGTCTTCTAGATACATTATCTCCCCTTAGCTTTTGGTCTTCTGCAGGCCAGAGGAGAGGGACAAGACTCTCTTTAGGTTTGCATTTCAGCATTTCAAAGTTCTGTTAACCCTTTCAAGCTGCAGATGGAGAATAGGTTATTGGAAAGGGAAAATTGGACAGACAAAACTACGAGACTCTCATAGACGAAATGCATTGGTATTGTCAACTTACTATAATGTACTTATTCTATTTTTCTCTGTCTGCCACCGTAATATTTAGGTGTAAACTATTTTTGCTAGTTCTAATGCCACCCATCATCTCCAAATGAGGGTTCCGAATGGCCTCCCTCCCCTCCCCTTTTACAAACCCAGCAATCAGGAGGGAGGGAATGGCCTGCCTTGCTCAAGATGAAGGTGGGGCTGCCCCAGAGTATAAATGTCTTTCCTTACCAAGCTGCTATTTGAGACAACCTCAAATTGGAGGACAAGGACACACGCATAAGGTAAGAGGAGACTACCTGTGGGCCATGTAGCTTTGGAAAACTTAGGGGACAAGGGAAGAGGACATGGACAACAATGAGTTGTCCATGGGGTTTGAGTTCCTCAATATGAAACGGTGATTCCAGGGATTGAACCATCAACCATCTACATACAAAGCAAACATTCTGCCATTGAGTTATAGTCCTCACTTGTTGTTGATGAAGGTCGACCAAAAGATCCATCAAGGTGAAGTCGATGCTCACAAATCTCTCTCTCAGCTGTTCTTAGAGACACAAAGAGGTTTTGTCTATCAGGGCTGAGACCACCATGAAATGGTGCCATTTTGTCTATCAGGGCTGAGACCACCATGAAATGGTGCCATCTTGTCTATCAGGGTTGAGACCACCAGGAAATGGTGCCATCTTGTCTATCAGGGCTGAGACCATCAGGAAAAAAGGAGGCTACCCTTCATGGGATGCTTAGGGAAAGGCAACGCCTCACAAGTGAAAAACCTGGACTCTCCTCTGTCTTCATGGAAGTCAGAAACCTTTGATAATATCCTGGATTTTCTGGCTTTAGTCTTACTTTGGCAAAGTTGGGCAATACTTCACTATTTGTAGGAACCTCTGGAGTGTTTTGAGGTTCTGCAGCACTTTGCACAGCTGGGCCAGTTCAGTTTCAGCTCAATCACATATCCAGATGGACAGACTGGCTTCATCAGTGACCAGGCCAGAGAAGGAGATGACTTGTGTCCCCATGTTGCCACCATAATTTCCTGCCTGTCGTGAACTCTGTGCAAACACCTAACAATTGCAGTCCTATGTACCAGTCACTGAATGTGGTACTCACTTAACCGGCAAGAGGAAGGGGATGACATGGAGGATGGGGTGAAGTCCAAGTGGGGCCAATACAATTCAGTAGACATGCTGAAGCCAGGTCTGGACACTGGCCATGGGTTCAGCATTTCTGCACTGAAATCCAGAGCTGCTCCAGGATAGACAAACACTGGGGGTCCTTCTACACCAGTGGTTCTCAACCTTCCTAATGCCGCAACCCCTTAATACAGTTCCTCATGTTGTGGTGATCCCCAGCCATAACATAATTTTCGTTGCTACTTCACAACTGTAATTTTGCTTCTGTTATGAATTGTAATGTAAATATCTGATGTGCAGGATGTATTATCATTCACTGGACCAAATTTGGCACAAATACCCAATACACCAACATTTGAATACCGGTGGGGTTGGGGGATATTGATTTTGAAATTTGGGAGTTGTAGTTGCTGGGATTTATAGTTCACCTACAAGTAAAGAGTATTCTGAACTCTACCAATGATGGAATGGAATCAAATTTGGCACACAGAACTCTCATGACCAAGACGAAATACTGGAAGGGTTTGGTGGGCATTGACCTTGAGTTTTGGAGTTGTAGGTCACCTCACTCCAGAGAGCACTGTGGACTCCAAAAATGATGGATCTGGATCAAACTTGGCACAAATATGCCATATGCCCAAGTGTGAACACTGGTGGAGTTTGAGGAAAATAGACCTTGACATGTGGGAGTTGTAGTTGCTGGGATGTATAGTTCACCTACAAGAGCATTCAGAACCACACCAGTGATAGAATTGGGGCAAATTTCCCACACAGAACCCCCATGACCAACAGAAAATACTGTGTTTTCTGATATTCTTTGGTGATACCTCTGACATCCCCCTGGTGACCCCCCCCCCTGGGGGCCCCAACCCCCAGGTTGAGAAAATGCTGCTCTAAGAGTTGACCAAATGGCTGCCCTTTGGAGAGGAAGAAGTAAAGAGCCAAATGGCAGAGGGTTTCTTGGAAAACTGGGGTTGTGTTTGCACCAGCGGGAGCAACAGCAAGGGCAACAGAGGTCAGGTCCAAGGGGCATGTTTATGCCACGTTGCTACTTATGGCATACCAGAAACGAGTGTTGAGCACTCTGTACTATGACCCAGCTTCAGGACCAATGGGAAAAATCAAAACATGTTATGGCACTTAATCACAAAATGGCTTCCCTTTCAATGGAAAAAAAACAAAATGGGTGGTTTACTGAATGGGATTCGTTGGTGGATGAGGTGGGTGGGACTGGAGCATGATCTGAGAGTCACATTGATGCCACGTAGGATGGCAACATTTGCTTATGGCATCTGAGTCCAGAGTTCTGTTAGGTTTGGCAACGTGCGGTTTCCTGGCCACCAAACACAGACTTCATATTTCACTTGTCCTTGGTTTTCTGGCAATCAGTTGAACTACAGATCCTCACCACTGCTGCCTGTCTGGTAATCCCAGCTATTTGGACTGTTTATTGTGTTTGTTTTAAAAATAAATGCATTATAATGTAAAATGGTTGAGAAAATTATATCTAGTTGTTTGTGGCTAGTATTAGAACGGTTCTAAATCCACTAAACACACCGGGTCCTGATTGATCTTGGAAGCTAAGTAGAGTCAGCTATAGGTATTGTTTATTTACTTATTATTTTGGACATTTGTATCCCGTCCTATCTCGACCTCCTGGACACCATGGTGCCCACAACTAAAAGCATAAATATATACAATATAAATAAAAACAATATAAAACAGTATACAAACATTCAAACAGTCAAACAATTGCCGATTAAAGTCATTGCCCTAAAAGCAGTCCGTCAAGTCTATTAAATGTATTGTCGAAGGCTTTCATGGCTGGAATCACTGGGTTGTTGTTGGTTTTTTCGGGCTATATGGCTATGTTCTAGAGGCATTCAATCCTGATGTTTTGCCTGCATCTATGACAGGTATCCTCAGAGGTTGTGAGTTCTCACGACCTCTGAGGATGCTTGCCATAGATGCAGGCAAAACGTCAGGAGAGAATGCCTCTAGAACATAGCCATATAGCCCGAAAAAACCTACAACAACCCAAGTCCATTAAAGCCGTCGCTTTGCCAAGCAGGTCAGCCTAGTCTGCAAAGGCCGATCCCATAGCCAGGATTTCCCTTGTTTCTGAAAGGTCAGGATGGATAGAGCAGATCTAATTTCACTTGGGAGTGAGTTCCACAGCCAAGGGGCCACCACAGAAAAGGCCCTGTCCCTTGTCCCCACCAAAGGTGACTGCGATGATGGGGGGACAATCTTAGAGTCTTAGATGGATCATAGTAGGTGATACGTCCGGACAAGTAAACTAGGCCAGAACCATTCAGGGCTTTATAGGCCAAAGCCAGCACTTTGAATTGTGCTCGGAAGCTAATAGGCAGCCAATGGAGCTGGCGTAGCAGCGGCGTTGTGCGGTCCCTGTATCCAGCTCCAGTGAGCAACCTGGCTGCCAAACGTTGAACTAGTTGGAGCTTCCGGGCATGTAGAGTGCATTGTAGTAGTCTATTCGGGATGTAACCAGAGCGTGGACCACCATAGCCAAGTCAGATTTCCCATGGTACGGGTGCAACTGGTGCACAAGTTTTAACTGTGCAAAAGCTTCCCTGGCCACTGCTGAAACCTGGGGTTCCAGGTTCAGTGATGAATCCAGGATCACTCCCAAGCTGCCAACCTGGGCTTTCAGGGGGAGTGTAACCCCATCAAGCACAGACTGTTACCCTATGCCCTGAACAAGAGGTGGAAGTAGACCAGGCATGGGCAAATCCAGGCCCAGGGAATGGATGCAGCCCCTTGAACTCTTTTCTCATGCTCTCTTCTCTCACACAATCCTATCCTTTCTTTCCTTCTCTTTTTCTCCTTCCCTTCCACCCTTCTGTCCTTCCTTCCTTCCTCCTCTGCCTCTCTTTTCTCCTCCCTCCCTTCCTTCTCTGTTTCTCCCTCCCTCCATTCCTTCCACCCTTTTGTCCTCCTTCCTTCTCTCTTCCTTCCTCCTCCCCTTCTTCCTTCCTTCTCTTCCTTCCTTCCTCCTTCCTTCCTTCCTTCTTCTTCCTTCCTTCCTTCCTCCCTCCTCCCTCCTTCCTCCTCCTCCCTTCCTTCCTTCCTTCCTTCCTTCCTTTTCCTTCCCATCCATCCATCCATCCATCCTTTCCTTCCACCATTTTGTCCTTCCCTCCCCTTTGTCTTTCCTTCCTTCTTTCTTTCCTCCCCCTCCCTGCTCTCCTCTTTCTCCTCTCATCTTTCCCTTCAACCCTTTTCCCTCTCTCCCTCTTTCTTGCTTCCTTCCTTCCCTCCCCTTCCCTCTCTCCCTTTTTCCTCTCTTTTCTTCCCCCTTCCACCCTTTCTTCCCTTCTCCTCTTTCTCCTTCCTTCCTTCCTCTTTCCTTCCCTCTTCCCTCCTCTCCTTCCCTCCCTCTCTCTTTCCCTTCCATCTTTCCCTCCCTTCCTTCCTTCCCTCTTTCTCCTTCTTTCCTTCCTTCTATCTTTTCTCCTTCCTTCCCTCTTTCTCCTCCTTCCTCTCTCCCTCTTTCTCCTCTCATAGCCCTTGCTCTTTCACCCCTCCTTCTTCTTTTCCCTCCTTCCCTCTTTTCCTCTTTCTCCTCTCCTTCCTTCCCTTTTCCTCTCCTTCTTCTTTCCTCCCTCCTTCCCTCTTTCTCCTTCCATCCTTCCCTCCTACCCTTTTGTCCTTCCTTCCCTCCCTCCCTCCTCACTCCTCCCCTCCTTCTCCTTCCATCCTTCCCTTCCTTCCTTTCATCTTTCCTTCCTCCTTCCCTTCCTTCCTTCCATCCCCAGTGAGCCAATCTTCCTAGCAGGAAGTACTAACATGTGGCTCCCAAATTAGGAAGTTTGCCCATGCCTGGCATAGACCCAGGGCGAGTCTACACTGGTGGTGAAATCCAGGGTCAGACTGGAGCACAAAGGATGAGCGTAAAGAAATGGGAAGGTGTTGGTTTCTATTAAGAAACAGCTAAGGAAAGGTCAAGATGTTACATTATTTTCTTTCTTCCATACAGCAGGATAACCAGACTACACCTTACAGTGAAAATGCTTGCCCCCGTGACACTCAAAGCCTGGTCAATTAAAATCCTGTATGGTAAGTAGTCAAAGAACTGAAAAGTTGGCAGGAAACCACAGCAGTGTTTTATTGCAGACTACTAGGAAAGGGATGTGCAGAAAACCCTACCTACCCCAGTTTAACAACTTTGTGTATTCCACAGAATAGGACTTGAGGGCACATCACCACAAAAGCTGGAAAATGTTGGCTACTGTGCCGACATGGAGGCAAGCAGCCATCATCCACAGCATCTGCACGGAACATCTTTCCATTTCTTGGGTTCAGATAAATTCTCAGGAGGGCAGCATTCAGGAGTTGTTTTGTTGTTGTGTGACTTCAGGTTCTTTTTGCCTAACGGTGATCCTCAGTGGACTTTCTCAGCAAGATTTATTCAGATGAGGCTTGCCATAGTGTTGAATTAAATGCAGCTTAACACCACTCTGTCATAGCTCAACACCACACTGACTGTTAGGGAATCCTGGAATTTGTGGCTTTATAAGGTCTTTAGTCTTCTCTACTACCAAAGAATGCCAGTGCCCCGCCAAACTGCAAATCCCAGGATCCCATACCTTTCAAGTGTGGCTGTGAAAGTTGTGTCAAACTGCATTAATTCAACTGTGTAAATCGGGTATAGGTAAACCCAGGCCCTATGGGCTGGATGTGGCCCCTTGGGCTCTTTTCTCAGGCCCTCCTCTCTCTCACCATCCTATCCTTCCTTCCTTCCTCTCTCTTTCCTCCTTCCCTCCCTCCCCCTCTTACCTCCCTCTCTTCCTTCCCTTCCAACCCTTTGTTCTTCCTTCCTTCCCTCTGTCCTCCCTCCTTCCCCCTCTCTCACTTTCCCCATCCTTCTTTCCTTCCTTCTTTCCTTCTCTTTGGTCTTTCCTTCCTTCCTTCTCTCTTTCTTTCCCTCCTTCCTGTGTTTTGGAATCTCCTTCTCTGGAGGCTTTTCGGCAGAGGCCTTAGAATCATAGAATCAAAGAGTTGGAAGAGACTTCATGGGCCATCTAGTCCAACCCCCTGCCAAGAAGCAGGAATATTGCATTCAAATCACCCCTGACAGATGGCCATCCAGCCTCTGTTTCAAAGCTTCCAAAGAAGGAGCCTCCACCACACTTTGGGGCAGAGAGTTCCACTGCTGAACGGCTCTCACAGTCAGGAAGTTCTTCCTCATGTTCAGATGGAATCTCCTCTCTTGTAGTTTGAAGCCATTGTTCTGCATCCTAGTCTCCAGGGAAGCAGAAAACAAGCTCGCTCCCTCCTCCCTGTGGCTTCCTCTCACATATTTATACATGGCTATCATATCTCCTCTCAGCCTTCTCTTCTTCAGGCTAAACATGCCCCGCTCCTTAAGCCGCTCCTCATAGGGCTTGTTCTCCAGACCCTTGATCATTTTAGTCGCCCTCCTCTGGACACATTCCAGCTTGTCAATATCTCTCTTGAATTGTGGTGCCCAGAATTGGACACAATATTCCAGGTGTGGTCTAACCAAAGCAGAATAATTCCCTAGATCTAGACACTATGCTCCTATTGATGCAGGCCAAAATCCCATTGGCTATTTTTGCCGTCACATCACATTGTTGGCTCATGTTTAACTTGTTGTCCACAAGGACTCCAAGACTTTTACACTACTGCTCTCGAGCCAGGCATTGTCCCCCATTCTGTATCTTTGCATTTTTTTTCTGCCTAAGTGGAGTATCTTGCATTTGTCCCTGTTGAACTTCATTTTGTTAGTTTTGGCCAATCATCTCTCTAATCTGTCAAGATCATTTTGAATCCTGCTCCTGTCCTCTGGAGTATTGGCTCTCCCTCCCAATTTGGTGTCGTCTGCAAACTTGATGATCATGCCTTCTATTACCTTCTATTGCAAGTGCTTTGATTGTGCCTTCCTGCATGGCCCTTGGGGGTCTCTTCCAGCTCTAGGATCCTAGGGTTCTAGATCAGGGGTTGGCAATATGGGGTGTAATGGATACACTTTTCCTTTCCCCTCCACCATTGATATCGAGCAAGAATTTGGGGATCTTTGCTGGGAGGCAGAGATCAATCAGACTCACCAAAGAGAGCCTGTTCGCCCTGGCGAGACAGAAAGAAGCACCCAGTTTCCCCCCCGATTTTTCCTCTCAAGTCAGTGGTTTTTTCTTCCTGGAAGTCGAGGTGCTTCCTGTAGCTCCTTTGTGCCAGAGTCCAAGGTCCATGAGGGTTTCAGTATCCACGGTTCAGAGGAATACAGTTTTGGCCTCCCCAGGATGCTGGAATCACATCCCGGGCAGGCTGGCAGCCATCTGCAGCCCGGGAGAGAGAAAGTTCATGCAGAGAATGGTTTGGAGGCAGTAAAGGACACAAAATAACACTATAGAGGAAAAAGTTACAATTAATGGATACTTTATTGGGGGGATTTGTTACAATGTTAGGTAGGGGAAGAAAGTAAAGCAGGAATGTCTTTGGGTGAAGCTGCTGTTGTGGCCACATTCCCTTGGATGCTGCCCCAAGCGGGCAACGGAGTACTGTGGAACTCCCTGCTGCAGGTCAGATCGGCTTCAAGGCAGGGTCCCCTGGCTGGCTCGCCATTACCATCTCATCCTGACCAAGGCCAACATTTTTGGGATTCAAATATTTCCACTCTTTCCTTTACTTTCTGCCTCCAAAAGAGAAGAGGAAGGGGAGGAAAGGGCAGGTAGGGGCCTTGGGGAGAATCCCTTTCCTTCCTCTGGGCCCAGCCCACTCCAGTCCACCATGCGGCCCCCAAGTTAGAAAGTTTTCCCATGCCTGCTGTAGATGCATGTTGGGCAAGTCAAGTTCTCTTCAGTCACAACAACCGGCACCACCTCAGATTGATGTCGAGCCCCCCCCCCCCCCAAAGATAAGGGATAGTGACTTGTAGTTCTGCAAAGGGCAAAGGCACCAGACTACACAACAAGGGTCAAGTCTTGGTCACATTGCCAAAGCACTGACAACAACAGGGACCCCATGAGGCTTTTTGAGAAACGGCTGGATCTTGGGACTTCTGCCCTTCGTGAGAGTTGTAGTTTCCCAAGGACCAAAGTGTGAATCAGTTGCAGCATAGCTGGGGTTTCATCTGCCAGCCTTCCCAATGATCATGGACTCTCTGCCTGCATGTCTTGGACTTCAGTACATACTATCTCCCTCATGAACTTTCCCCAAAGACCTTTTAAAACATTGGACTTCAGGCTCCTTCATGAAAATTATTCCTTTTATTAAATATACTTGTGATGTGGGACAAAGATGGGGTTTTGTTGCCATGAAATGCTTATGATTTGAATGTATGCATCTCGCTATGAAATATCTTTTGCCCCCTTTCCCTTTGCTCTTTGCCCCAGAAAATGTGACCAAGGACTGTTAAAATGCCTGAGGGAGAGCCAAGCTTCCTCGAAACCATTTTGCATGGACAATAGCAAGTTGAAACATCCTTTTGTTTGCTTTCTGAGTTTTGTCTGGCAGGCAGGGAAGTTTTCTCTGGACATTTTGATTGAATCACAAAGGGACAAGGCTGACCCCAGGGGTCCCTGTTTGTTTCATCCAAAAGCCCATCAAAACCAACACACCTTATCTGATCCTGGAAGGGAAAACCTGAATCAAATGGTTATCCCAAAATCACTGGTCCATCACAAGAACAAAAAACTGGTTTCCTTGGCTGGCTGATCCCCCTGGGCAAAGGACAGTAGGATGTCATCATCCTCTCTGGACACAATGGCCCTCTTCCATCCTGCCTCCCTCTCCCTGATTTGCTAAGGAGCCGAAGAGTGAGGGAGTTTTGAAACTTTCAAACCTGTATTTTGCTTATAAAAATGCCTGCAAACTCTGTATTGGTATGCCTGTGGTGGAGCTAGGCAGGGGTGAGCTGTGGCAGGGAGCAGTCGGCCTGTTTGCATGGAACCGGCGATTTTGGCAATCAGCTGTTTTCTGTCAAATTATATTCTCAAAAATAGAAAGATTATTTCCTGGGCATAGGGATCCAAAATGAGAAAAGCAAGATAGCAGTTTAGTTTAGAATTAAGCACAGAAAAATATGGCATCAAAATGGGGCCAATCCACCATTTTGTGGTTTTTGCGGATATGGGGTCTGAAAGGGGATTCCCGTATCCGCGGTTTCAATTGACGCAGATCCGGCGTCCCTGGGACGCTGGGAAAGCATCCCAGGCAGGCTCACAGTTCCCGGGAGCCTAGAAAAAGGTTTATTTCATGCAATTGATAGTTCAGGCAAAGGAAGGACACAAAGTAACAAGCGGAAAAGCTAAAAGTTGCAATTCTCAAGTACTCTTTATTAGGGAATAGATACAAAGTTAGGGCTTGGGGAAAGTAATAGAGGCTGAATGCAGTCCTAGTTTGAGCTGTCTGTTGGGGCACATTTTATCCGTTTGTCCCAATTGTGGCTTCCAGGAACTGTGGAACTCCCTGCTGCAGTTCAAACCAACTTGAAGGCAGGGGCCTCTGCGGCCCTTGGGGTCATCACTTCTAGTCATTATTGTCCTTATCTAATTGCCAGATTGCCCAAAAGCCAGGTTGTGAGGTCTGGGATTATTTCTGCCAAATCTGGATATGTGTGAGGTTCATCACAATCCTTAATGGTGGTGTGGATTTCTTTCTCTTTTCAGGTCTTGTTGAAGTTGCAAGTGCAAGTGCCTCTGCGTCTGCGCTGGTTGTGCCATTTATAGGCACTGCTGTCACAGTTGTGGGTGTTGCATACCTCACTCACAAAGCCCACCAAATGGCAAAAAGTAAGCTAGGGGTAGGGGCGGCTCAACCCATTACGTAAAGTAAGCATTTGCAGTATAGTTGATTTTGCCCAGGGGCGCTCTTGAGGCACTCTTGGGGGAAAATAGACCTTGACATGTGCGAGTTGCAGTTACTGGGATATATAGTTCACCTACAATCAAAGAGCATTCTGAACTCCACCAATGATGGAATTGAACCAAATATGGCACACAGAACTCCCACGACGAACAGAAAATATATATCAGTGATTGGTTGGGAGGGGTGCCAAAATACTGTTTGCTTACCATTGAAAATTACCTAGGGCCGCCTCTGGCTAGGGGTCACTGAAATTGAAACGGTTCTGTAGATCAAGCAGGTGATGCTTGACCAGTAGAATTAGACTGACATCAGTGCTGAGACTTTCAGAAGATGCGGTGGGCTTTACTATTTAGCCCAGAGGCCCTCCTTTTTTGGCCCTCCCAGTCCTTTAGTTCTGAGCATAAGGATCCCCCGGTGGTCCAATGGGTTAAACCCTTGTGCCAGCAGGACAGATGACCAACAGGTCAGCGGTCTGAATCCAGGGAGGGCGGGTTGAGCTCCTTCTGTCAGCTCCAGCTCCCCATGCAGGGGCATGAGAGAAGTCTCCCACAAGGATGGTTAAACATCAAATATCCTGCTGTCCCCTGGGCAACGTCCTTGTAGATGGCCAATTCTCTCACACCATTCTACAGTGCAGATGCATCCCTTGTGATCTATTTAAAATGTAAAGTATTGTTCCTAAAGGGCTTTCAGGAAAGATAATTCACACCTCTTCTCCTTCCCCTGGTTTACAGTGTTCCCTCACTTATTGCGGGGACCTCCCGCAGTAAGTGAAAAACCACGATGTAGGGATGCTAATGAAGCCCCTGGTGGTGCAGTGGGTTAAAGCGCTGAGCTGCTGAGCTTGTTGACCAAAAGGTCATAGGTTCAAATCTGGGGAGTGGCATGAGCTTCCGCTGTCAGCCCCAGCTTCTGCCAACCTAGCAGTTCAAAAACATGCAAATGTGAGTAGTTCAATAGGTACCGCTCCGGTGGGAAGGTGCAGTCATGCCAGCCACATGACCTTGAAGGTGTCTACGGACAACGCCGGCTCTTCAGCTTAGAAATGGAGATGAGCACAACACCCCAGAGTCGGACATGACTGGACTTAATGTCAGGGGAAAACCTTTACCTTTACCTAGGGACGCTCTATTTATTTTAATATTTATACATTATTTTAGTACTTATATAGTATTTTAAGTCTTTATAAACTTAAAATAAAGTGAAGGAAAGGAAGGAAAGGCCCTTCAAGGCTGGACGGAGGACTGAGGAGGGAAAGTGCCTCGGACAGCAGTGGTGGCAAAACCCTACAAAACTGTGAAAATACCATGATATATATTTTAAATTATTTTTTTAAAAAAAAATCCGCAAAACAGCGAGTTTGTTAAACGTGAACCACGAAGTAGTGAGGGAACACTGTACTTTCTTTCCAGTCTGGGGAATCCAGAAGGATGAAAGCCCACAAAAATACACTTTCCTCATCCAAAGAATTTGTAGGCCAGTAGTTCTCAACCTGTGGGTCCCCAGGTGTTTTACAACTCCCAGACATTCCTGCCAATTTATAGGTGTTAGGTCAGGGGTCCTCAAACTTTTTAAACAGAGGGCCAGGTCACAGTCCCTCAAACTGTTGGAGGGTCGGATTATAATTTGATAAAAACATGAATGAATTCCTATGCACGCTGCACATATCTTATTTGTAATGCAAACAATACAATAATTAAAAAGAAGAACAATTTTAACAAATATAAACTTATTAGTATCTCAATGGGAAGTGTGGGCCTGCTTTTGGATGATGAGATAGGGTTGTTGTCATGTTTCCAGTCATTTCAGATTTATTTATTTATTTATTATTTGAACTTATATGCCGCCACTCCCCTGGGGCTCGGAGCGGCTTACAAGAACAGGCTAAAATCGAACACAATTTAAAAACAATTTAAAACAATTTAAAAGCAGCAATATCAGAGATCAAAGGCCCGTCAAAATAGATATGTCTTACATGCCCTGCAGAAAGGTGGCAGAGTATTCCAGAGTAATGGTGCCACTGCTGTAAAGGCTCTGCATCTGGTTGCTGTTAGACGCAAGGTCTTGACACTGGGAATTTCCAATAGATCTTGGTCCTCAGAATGGAGGGATCTCTGGGGTTGGTAGGGGGTGAGGGCCCCTCAGGTACATCGGCCCCAGACCATGCAAGGCCTTAAAGGTGAGTACCATCACTTTGAAAGTGGTCCGGTGCTCAATTGGTAACCAATGCAGCTGCAGTAAGATTGGGGTTATGTGGCATCTCATCGGAATTCCCGCAAGAAGCCGAGCAGCTGCATTTTGTACCAACTTGAGCTTCCGGATCACCGACAAAGGAAGGCCAATGTAGAGGGCGTTACAGTAGTCCAGTCTTGAGATGACCGTAGCCTGGATCACCGTAGCTAGGTCGTCCCTGGACAGGTAGGGGGCCAGCTGTCTAGCCTGCCGCAGATTAAAAAAAGCGGTTCTGCTCACGGCGGAGACCTGGGCCTCCATCATCAGCAGAGGGTCCAAAAGGACTCCCAGACTCTTTACCAATGATGACGGGCGTAGCGCCTTGCCATCCAGGGTAGGCAGCTGGATGTCCCCACTGCCCGGTTGACCCAGCCATAGGATCTCCGTCTTTGCTGGATTCACCCTCAACCTGCTGGCACACAGCCATCCAGTAACGGCCTCGAGGCACTGATGGAAACAATCGGGTACAGAATCCGGTTGGCCTTCCATCTTCAGCACCAGCTGAGTGTCGTCAGTGTACTGGTAACACTCAAGCCCAAAACCTCGAACCAGGTGAGCAAGTGGTCGCATATAGATGTTAAACAACAGAGGGGAGAGAATGGCCCTCTGAGGAACCCCACAAGAGAGAGGGGACCTCTCAGAGACCAGGCCTCCCCTCTCCACTCGCTGTCCACGGTTGTGAAGAAAGGAGGACAGCCAGTTTAAATCTCTCCCCCTGACTCCAGCAACAGCAAGGCGGTGGGTCAAAAGATTGTGGTCGACTGTGTCAAATGCTGCTGTGAGATCCAATAACACAAGCAGCGCTGACCCGCCCTGGTCAAGCTGGCATCGAAGGTGATCCGTGATGGAGACCAGCACAGTCTCTGTCCCATGCCCCGCACGGAAGCCGGACTGGAAGGGATCTAGTCCGGCTGTGTCATCTAGGAATTGCTGCAACTGCTCCGCTGCTGCCCTCTCAATCACCTTGCCCAAGAACGAGAGGTTCAAAACTGGGCAGTAACTGGAGGGAACCGAAGGATCTAAATCTGGGAGAGACCAGAGAGATTTAGGTTGGCTCTGAGCGAGGGTCGGGTAAATGACCTTGGAGGGCCGCATCCGGCCCTCAGGCCTTAGTTTGAGGACCTCTGTGTTAGATCTTCTGGGAACTGAAGGCCAAAACACCTGGGGACCCACAGGTTGAGAAGCACTGTTATAGACTACAATGCTCAACCATGTCAGTTTGACTGACCTTTCATTCTCTTCTTCTTGCTTTTCAGAGCGTTATTGACCCATCCATGGAGGATGATGGGTACAACAATGGAGACTGAAATTCTCATGTTGCATTCCTTTTATCGAGCTGCCCTGTGTTAATTGTCGGTGCTTGTCTGGCTACTGAAATTTCCCTGTAGTTGACTATTGCATGGCTGTGATTCTTATACATAGAAGGGAGACAGGATTGCCAGGCTTTTGAAATAGCATGGTGAATTGCCCTCTGAAAACAGAAATGTTGTTCAATGCACAAACTATTAAATCTCATTAGATTCAGAAAAACACTGATTGGGAAATGGAAGGGTTTTTTTTCTTGATTTGTAGGGACATTGCTGGTAATTATATTAATCATTTTAGCCTATGCTTTTCAGCCATATATGTAACCAATGATTTTTAAAATAAAGCTTTTCAACTCTGAAAAATGGGTTTGTTTTTGTTGTGAACCTGTAATGGGTTTTTTGGGTGTGATATGTTCAGAGAAGAGCTTGCTCTTGCCTTCCTTTGTAGGACCTAGAAAATATTTTGGGCGAACATTATTTTCAGAGGTGGATTAGCAAGACTCCAGGTATTAGCCCCACAGATATGGGGGTTCTGCTGGCACAGCTGTGCCAGACGCTAAATTTCCTGGAAGGCCTCTTAGCTGAGGCACCCTGGCACAGGCCCAGCATGCAACAGCACAGGGGTTATTGTGTATATAATTTTAAAATTGGTTGTCCCCTAAAGAAGACATACCCTTTCATTTGGAAACATCTTCAGAAAGAGCAGTAGTACTGAAGGAGCCATAAGCCTAAGAAATATTAAAAATTAAAAGCTTTAACCAAAATGTTAGTATAGAGGTCATACAAAGTTCAAGGTTTGGCTTTTTGAAAAGTTGCTATATTAGTGAGCTTACATAGGAAATTGGTTTGTGGTTAAGCGCAAAGTCTGCAGGTGCGAAAAGGTACTTTTCATCAAGAGGCTGATGGGTGGGGAAGAGTAAAGGTCAAGGTACTTTCCATGACAAAAATATTCTTGTTTACCTGAAGGTATACAAAAGTCTGCAAAAACAGAGGAGGGTGCGGCACGTTGGTGCCCATGTGCACTTAACGTGGCTGTCCGACTTCTTCATAGCTATAATGAAAGTAAACCTTGTTTTTATTTATTTATTTATTTATTTACTTTACTTGTACCGCAGTTTCTCAGCCCAACAGGCGACTCAATGCGGTTTATAACAAGGATAAAAATCAGTGATATATAATTTAAAACCATAAAAGCATAGTATACAATATTGACACAACAATAAACAACACAATACATCTCATAACTAGAGTCGTGATCCAATTCGTCGTCCATATTTCCATTCCTGTAATCATCACATTCATTGCACTGTTTATCCGAATGCCCGTTCAAACATCCAAGTTTTTAATCTTCTTCGAAACACCATTAGCGAGGGGGCTGATCTAACCTCCATAGGAAGGGCGTTCCACAGCCGAGGGGCCACCACAGAAAAGGCCCTGTCTCTCGTCCCCGCCAGCCGCACCTGTGAAGCAGGCGGGATAGAGAGCAGGGCCTCCCCAGAAGATCTTAGGGTCCTGGTGGGCTGATAGGCAGAGATACGTTCGGATAGGTAGCTTGGGCCAGAACCGTTTAGGGCTTTATAGGCCAACGCCAGCACTTTGAATTGAGCCCGGTAGCAAATCGGCAGCCAGTGGAGCTGGTGCAGCAGAGGAGTTGTATGCTCCCTGCGCTCCGCTCCTTAGTATCATGGCTGCCGAGCGTTGGACTAATTGGAGCTTCCGAGCCGTCTTCAAAGGCAACCCCACGTAGAGAGCGTTGCAGTAGTCTAAACGGGATGTAACCAGAGCGTGGACTACTGTGGCCAAGTTTTTGATCTTTTTTGAGACTGTCTCCTTCCTTACGTGCTCCCTTGATGTGGACCTAAGAATTAAGACCCAATTTAGGGTCTCTAACAGTACTATTAGACTGCCTTTTTACCAGTTTGGGATTCAAGTGGCTT